CTGCTTTCATTAATCTCTCTTATAAAGCAGCTAGTTATAAACAACAAAAAATTTATTTTGTGGCTCCAACGCTCTTTTTTGCATTAAACAATATTGGATATTAAGTTGTCTTCAGGAAGATTTTTATATTGTGGTATATAATATGATTCATTTTCTTGACTCCATAAATTAACTAAAAAATAAATAAATAAAACTAATAATGATAATGATAAACTAAAAAAAAAATAAATAAATAGATAGGAGCAGTAAATATAATTGGAATAGTTATACTTTTGATAAATTATTCAGTTGTATAGTAGTAGTGTCCAACTTGCAAAGTTTAGCATTATTTGGGACGATTCTTTCAAGTAATCAACAAATAATAGTGGGATTGAAAACTTTCTACCAAACAGAATTACATAGGTATGTGGTTTTTAAATTATTACATTCATTTAGCTATCATATTGAAGAGTATACAATAGATCTAACTACTATAGAATGTTCACTAAATCTTTTATGGTATTTTAATGACCCAAATCTTGAATTCAAACAGAAACCTCATTTGGATAATTAGGCCAAATTTTTTGACTTGTTTTTGATAATTCGGCAATTATATTATCTTCTATCTCACTATAGTTATTATCTGGCATAGACTAGTAGCTCTTAACGATTTCTTCAATAGGATATTTTTTTATAGTGATCTATAATTTTAAGTTACAATAACACTTGACACAGTCATCTTAGGGTGAATACAGTTTGTCTCCATATCAGCATGGTTTTAGTCTAAGGATTCATCTAGCATATTTACTATTTAATTCTGAAGTTTGTAGCTATTGTAATGATAAATAGTCTGTTACAAGATAAAACAGTTTTGACCCCAAATACTGATAAAAATATTCTACCACCCAGATAACAGCAAGACATTCCAACTCAAATATAAAATAATTTTGTCTGCTTTATTTAGACTACGGCTTGCATATACGATAACATATTCTTTGTTATTATCATCTAGTTGAGCTAATACAGCTTCTAATCCTAATACCAAAGTATCTGACCAAAGTATCTGTATTCAGATAAAAGGGTCTACTAAAATCAGGATGTTGTAAAACCAGGGCCATTATTAAGCAAGTTTTTAGAATTTGGAATGCTTCCTCTTGTATTTTAGTCTAATGATAAAGAGCGTTGGAGCCACAAAATAAATTTTTTGTTGTTTATAACTAGCTGCTTTATAAGAGAGATTAATGAAAGCAG